GCCAATAACTATGCCCAAATGTGAGGCATGAGAGAATGATGAATCATTTTAAACCATAACTAGGCCATAGAGCTTTTTCGCCTCGAACCTAGAATTGTTCTTATAATATTTGATAAACGATACGAAGGACGATATTCAAGGGTTATCTTCGATCACTTAGCCTTCAAACAACTCACAACTCTATCGAATATGCATTTCTAAAGCATTTGAGATTTTCCTACGCATTTGAGCCTAAAAGAAAATGGTCTAATAAGGTTAGATAGATAATACCCCAAAGCAGACGTAAAACTAAAAGGTTATACTCTCAAATTGAGCTGAATATGTTTGATCTATAATCATAAGTTGTGAGATCCCACATCAGTTTGAGAAGGAACGAAGCATTTCTTATAAAAGTGTGAAAATCTCTCCCTAGTAGACACGTTTTAAAACCATGTCAAAGCAAACAATATCTATTAGCGAATGACTTGAGCTGATACAAATGGTATTAGAGCTAGGCACCAGACAATTTTCCAACGAAGATGTTGGGTCCACAAGAGGGTGGATTGAGAGATCCTACATTTGTTGAAGAAGGGAACGAAGTATATCTTAAAAGATTGAAACCCCTCCTAATAAATATGTTTAAAAATTAGACCATAGGTACTAATAGTGAGTTACAGTATTAAAAAAAACTAAACCAAACTAGAGAAAAGGACAACGTACAAAGAACTCAGAATTTCTTCGCTTCGATTCCGTCCCTGCCCAAAATCCTGCTTTGGTGGGCTTCTCTCAAGGTGACACCAAAGGTCTACCTCCTTTAGTAGCTCGGCTCCATCAATGAGTTTTTCAACACCTGAAGGTAGCCGCACAAGCCTAAGAGAGAGTGTAGGGGGTGCAGGTTCCTTCATTATTTTAGCAAAAGTTCCTGCGGCTCGAGCCAGCTTTGCGCTTTGACTTGGATGACATTCTATATCATGTACCCATGTTCCTATACGTATATCGGCGAATGGTAACATAAACCAAGAGTAAAGAGAAGGAGAGGGAATTGAGTCGAATTCAATGTAGCTTTAGGTCGAGGTTAGGGTCAACCTCGATAAGAGGTCGTGGCTAGGCTCTAGCTTCTAAAGGGGTCGTGTGCCATGCATTCTTCCAACTTATATAAGTTACCTGTTTCGAACCGAAAACATAAAACCCCTAAAAAGTTTGTCATAAAAATACCCGAAGGTAAGTTTTAGTTTCTACTCTAAATTCTTCTCATAAAAAAAAAAAAATTTGTCGTTATCCATCTCGGATAAAGCGTGGCAGTAAATGATTGGTAGTCAGCGAGTGTCCCACAAAGAGGACTTGCGAGTCCACGTGTCATCGATCCAATCGATTCATTTGACAGGTTGAAAAGAAGAAGGAGAAGAAGAAGAAATGGAATTTGAAAGAGGTTTTTTTTTTTTTTTTTTTTTTTTTTTTTTTTTTTTTTTTTTTTTTTTTTTTTTTTTTTTTTTTT